AAAAACGATGAGAGAACAATCCATCTGGATCCCTGTGACTACAAGGGTTACACACACACGCCTCCCCGAGGGGAGGCGAAAAGCTAAGGTAAGGGCCAATGTGCACGTGTGCGCGCACAAGACAAAAGAATGAAGACATGACAAGAGGACAAGACGGGACAAAGGTGCGTGTGGTTGAAATGAAAGGGGAAAGTGCACAGGGACACGCGATGAAGCCCACCTCATTGTAAAGACCTGGGCGACCTGAAACCTGTGTTTAAAGGTATGTAAAGTGCACGTACACACTAAGGCCGGGACCAATGCGCACGCAAACGAAGAAAAGGATGAGATGACCAGACATGAAGACAGGAGGACATGAAAGAAAAGAGGAAACAAAAGTATGTGAAGGGGAAGGGATGAAAGGGAACCAAATGGAGGGGACGAGAACCGATGAAACCAAACCTCATTAGAAACACCTAGGGACCTGCCTCGTTTGAGTGTGAGCGCTGTGTGTGCACCTGAGGTTGGGACAGGTTCCAATGAACCTTGAACAAACTTCGGTCGCTGACCACGTACGGCAAGCCCGAGGGCGGCCACCTCTGACCGCTGCGGTCACGTAGAGGCATGAGCCAGCTTGGAATTCCAAAGATGGGACAAAAATCATAGTTCTTTCGGCCTAGGCCACCTACACTCGCTGCGAGCTGCTCTGTATCCGGGCAATGGATACGTTCGACAAGCCCCCGTTCGACGGGTCCACGGGAGGCACTCTGCGGGCTCATCCCGGGTTGGCACGAGGCCAAACACACTTATGGATACGCATACGGAACTGATAGCGGTGCCACACGCCAGCCTAAGAAACCCAAATCCTGAAAGGTCCAGGAAAGGCCTAAAGAACCTGGGGGTCTTCAAGAGGAAGTGAGGCCCAAAGCGCAAGCACCAAGCGACGAGTTCGGATCGACAAAATGACGGCGCGCGTGCACATCTGCAGAGTTCACAAGCATTAGGTACCATGTCTTTGAGGTTCTGGGCTTAGCCTCAAGCCATTGGAAAATCGCAGGTACGTCGGAGTGGCCAACTCCGATATCACCAGATCAAATAATGGGCGTCTTCCTTGGTAGCGGTCCCAAATGATCTGCCGCTACCCCCTGCTGGAAAACAAATGCCGAAAAACGATGAGAGAACAATCCATCTGGATCCCTGTGACTGCAAGGGTTACACACACACACTTAGGATAGGGTGTACTGAACTGAAAGCGGTGCCACACGCCAGCTTAGGTTACCATTTCCTAAGAATAAAAGTGAGAACCAACGGATCCTGGAGGTCTTCAAAAGGAGAAGTGGCCCAAAGCGGAAGAAGCCAATCGACGATCACGGGTCGAACAAGATGACGGCGGGCCGTGCGTGACTGCCAATGCATTAGCCCTTTGCCAAAGGTTAAAAATTGTGCAGGTACAAGGTTGATCAGACCACTCATCCATCGAAATCGAAATGCCATAGCTTCGTTGGACTGGATAGGCAAGTCGGCTCGAGTCCCCCTGCTTAAAAGAAAAAGAAGGAAGAGTCAGCATACATTACAAACGGACCCCTGTGATTACAATGGGCACACACACACGCCTCCCCAAGGGGAGGCAAAAATTAAGGCTAGCGGCTAGCACGAATGTGCAAATGTGCGCGCAGCAAAGACAAAGGATGAAGACATGAGAAAGAGGACGAGACGGGACAAAAGGATGTGTGGTTGCGATGAAAGAGAAACCAAGTGCACAGGGACAACCGATGAACCCCACCTCATTGTCGAGACCTGGGCGACCTAAAACCTGAGTTTAAAAGTAGATGTGCACGTACAAGCTAAGGCCCGGACCGTTGTGCGCGCAATAGAAAGAAAGGAGCGAGATGAAAGGACATGAAGCAAGGGAAGACATGAAAAGAAAGAAGGAAAAGAAGTGTGTGAAGGGAAAAGGATGAAAAGGGGAACCAAGTGGAGGGGACGGGAACCGATGAAACCAGACCTCATTACAACGACCTAGGAAGACCTGCCTCGTTTAAGTGTGCACAATGTGTGTGCACCTGAGAATCCGACAGGTTCCAATGAGCCTTGAACAAGCTTTGGTCGCTGCGACCACGTACGGCCTGCCCGAGGGCTGCCACCTTTGACCGCTGCGGTCACGTAAAGGCATGAGCCAGCTTGGAGTTCAAAAATCCGACAAATCTTGGCAAATGACTTTGGCTTAAGCCTCCTGCTGTCCGCTTCGGACACCTACGTTCCCAGGCAGGGGGAACAACGACAAACCCCCGTTCAACGGGTTGACGGGAGGCCTCTTCGGGTTCATCCCGGGCTCTCACTAGGAGTGCCAGACGGCAGCGTAGGTTACCATTTCCTAAGAATAAAAGTGAGAACCAACGGATCCTGGAGGTCTTCAAAAGGAGAAGTGGCCCAAAACGGAAGAAGCCAATCGACGATCACGGGTCGAACAAGATGACGGCGGGCCGTGCGTGACTGCCAATGCATTAGCCCTTTACCAAAGGTTAAAAATTGTGCAGGTACAAGTGGTTGATCAGACCACTCATCCACCGAAATGCCATAGCTTCGTTGGACTGGATAGGCAAATCGGCTCCAGTCCCCCTGCTTAAAAGAAAAAGAAGGAAGAGTCAAGCATACATTCCAGACGGATCCCTGTGATTACAAGGGGCACACACACAAATGAGATCAACACGTGGGGTCAACGTGCAGTCCTCCAATTCCTGTTGGAAGACTCACCCAGCTTCCCCAACCCAAAAACAACCCCCTCAACCTTGTTTGAGAACGGCAACCTTGTCAATGCGACTCCCTTGGGCGCCCCAAAACGTGTCCAGCAAGTTGCTGATCTGAAAATCTTTGGCGAGCTCCTGAAATGCTGAAGTTGGCCACTTGGACAAAGGAACCCAGCCATCTCCAGAACTACTCTTGATGCTTCAAGTTATCATGGCTTGACGCAAAGATTAGAAAAACTATCCAAAGACTATCATGGCTTTAATCTGCACTTTGCACTTTCGAAGCACGGTGCGTGGTGCGTGCAGGTCTGTGGAGAACGTGCAGTCTGCTCTCCTTGGTGATCAGGGTCTTGAAGCGCCGTGGAAAGAGGTAGGAGTACCTCGACTTGGGAAGGCCGCTTGGGTGCCCGCAAGTGCCCGTGGCAACTGGTACTCGCAGCAAGCTTGGGGGTCTCACCAAAGCCAGTTGTGGTGAAAAAAGGCACAACTCCTGTCTCCGAAATTCAATAAACCAAGGAGATAGAAAAGGAACCAACTTTGTTTTGAGCCACGGACATGATGCAATGTTTGTGGCAAATCTTCCAAAGGAACTTGAGAGCATCGATTCGCTTCGCGTGCTTCACAACAGAGACCGCTTCGCACAAGATTTACTTTCCCCATGAAGCGCTCATTTGAGACACATCGCTGGAACTGCGTTTTGGACCAAGCGCATCAAACCATTCACCACTTCAGAGAACCTCCACAAGTATCTGCAAATGCCCATCCATAGCCCCAAGGCGCGCCGGATGGGATCTACCAAAAAGAATATGATGCAAGAAATGCATTGGCATTAACAATACATTTCGTGCATCATCAAGCAGCAAAATGCTCAAATACTTTGGGCAAAGAAAGGGCACAAGACCGAACGGTCCAAGAGCTTGGCAAAAAGCCCCTTCTCCAGGTCGTTGAACTTCTCTGCAACCACCTCGATCTTCATGTCCTTCGCAAGGAAAAAAGAAGAAAAGCGGCGAATCTGAAGAGATTCAGCAAAGAAACCTTGGATCTATCCACATTGGCCTTCAACCACTTCTTCTCATTGGCCTTCACATCAGCAAGAATCGATGCAACCGAGAGGAAATATCTACAGAGACCCAGAATCCTGTCGCCCAGTGGAGAAGGCAATTCCATCTTCCCCCGAAAGCCGGAGACTGTTGGACATCGAGACTTGGGGATGAGGCCGAAAACAGAGCATGATGCGTGAGGCATTCTTTAGCTCGGTTCCGGCGAACCATGGTTGAGGTCCTGTCGTTTCAGCAGAAACCACTCCCCACCCCCCAAATGTCCCCATTCACGACTCCAATGTCCAAGCATCGAAGCTTCCAAGGTCAATCAGAATGGCACCCCCGTTGAGCATGGAATTCCTGAGTGCTTCAAAAGGATCAAACCTGAACAAGCTACAAGCTGCCTCAAAAAACACAGGTGCACAGGTCCTGTAGGTCCGATAGGTCCGGTGCCTGCCGGCTCTTTATCCAACGACACCTGCAGAACACCTGCAGAAGACTCTAAGCTGCTTGTTTGGTGTATTGAACAAGCTTTGATGAATATTCTGTTCTTCTCCAAACAAACCAACCTCAGCCTAGTTACCTAGTTTCTCTGAAACTGGACTGAATGTCCTCCCCTGCCTCCTTTGCGCTTCTGTTTGGGTGAAGAAACCGTTCTTCGTAAAGTTTCATCTCCCCAAATATTCTCCACCAGGAAGAGCTTTCTCTCTCTCTCTCTCTCGCTCGTTCCAGCCTTGTCAGGTGAATGTAACATGTGTTTTGGCAAGCGTTCCTGTAGACATGTCAGAGAACTTAGCTGGTTGGTGGTTGGATGTTCTTGGGCAATGCAACTTCCCCTATAAAAGCTGACAAATTTCTTTGGAGGGCCCTTTCACATGTCAAGGCCCCATCAAGCAACAGTCAACCTGAAACCCTGGCGTGCATCAAGTCGAAAGTAAACACACCAAAAGAACTCGTGCTCCCAAAAAGGAAGTGTCTCTATCATCAACCAATCAAGTAACCCGCTACCACAATCGGAGATGACTTAATGCGAATCCTATTGACTCCAAGATGACTTCGCTACAAATCCAGCCCGATGCCTTGCACTGCCAAGCTTCAACAAGGCCCGGCGCAAACGCATCGATTCCATGTCCTGTGTCAGCTGCTTCAAAGGCTTTGGTAGACATGTGGGCCACAGTCCGGAAACATGTGGGACGCAGTGAAGCGAAGCAAGCGGATTCATCTTGAAGCTTTCGCTTTATAACAAGGTGCTTCTTGAAGCTTGCTATACAACACGGAACACTCCGGGTTGAAGGCCATCGCTGGTAGGTTGGACCCGCTCCTGAAGTTCCACGATGGTGTAGACCTCAAACTTACACAAACACAGCTGAAGAATGTCGGGGCTACAGAGCAGGCAGCGGCTCACCATTGCGAACTCAACAAACAAGCAAACCGTAACAAACCCAACAAGAGTTAGAGTCGTTCGCTTATGAAGTCAGCCGGTACTTGCCAGGAATGGCTGATCCATCCTCCTGGTCGTGGAATCGACCACGGGCCCAAGTCTGAACGTCCTTCTGTCATCATGAGCCATGAGCGAGCTGAATAGAAAGGACAAGGCGAATCGCCTTTCACGTCGAATTCCCGTGGACGTAAACCAATGGACCGGGAAAAACCAAGGCGCAGGTGAGTTTCCCATCCTACCCGGTCCTACCCCTACCCCTTTTCGTGCGGGTCCAAAGGCCCAAAGAAAACCGCGCAAACGGACGCAGATATGTCGATCAAAAGAATGTCAATTTGCTCGTGTACTACCTACGGTAGTGTACCAAGTACAAGTTGAAAATGCAAGTTATACCGTACGAATTGTTGATTCGCAGTGACTGTCCTGTGAGTGCAGTGATGATGTGAAAATGATGGGTGGTGATTGCTGAGAGGATGTAATTTTAGGTGTAACATAATATGGTGATCTGAAATGCTGAACATTAATCTCTACGTTTCTCGAGTTTTTCTCTGGAAATCTCCACTTGTCTCGGGAGTCCACAGGCACCAGTGGAACAGCCCCAGGAAGACGGGGGCTGGGTGCCGTGTCGTGGACTCTGCAGAGTCTATCGGATCTATCGGCAAGGTATCTTTCGCACAGTCTGGGGATTGTTGGTTGTTCTAGGTCCTATATACTAGGTTCTGATGTTTGGCTATATCTTTATAATTGAGAGAACACAATTCTACGAGACAAAACAAAAGAGATGCACATGACTTGGAGTACTTATCTTACTGTGACCTCGTCATTTGCCTCTGAAAACCTATGGGGGTCCTTTCAACACCCGTGTCCCCCCTTTTTACCCTTCATCTGAGGAACGGCAGCACCTGTGTACTTGATAAAGGTTGAGGTGCGACCAGAAGGATCCACCACAAATGGCCACCGTCCATCTTGCCTCAGCCAGCTCACTTGGACGCCGTGCGTCAAGCATCGCCTTCGGAACTCTGAGATCGACGGTGACCTATATACATCTTGATGGACACGGAACTCACTGAGATTAATCAAATGTCACCAGCTGTGATGTCCAGGGGAGGGACCCCCATTGGAGATGTGGTAGCTTGTGAGCAACAGTGGAATGAAACATCGACTGAAAACCGCTCGAAACAGCGCCACCGCTCGAAACGCCCGACGCATGAACACGGGGGAAAGCGCCATACCGCAACGGGTGAAAGCAGGCGTGAACACGGGGGTTTCGACATGGTGTCACTCTCGCCACGTGAACACGGCCGGTGGCCACGTCTTCGTGTCTCAAACTGTCGAGACTGACAGTGAACCGTCACAGGTGCGAAGGGCGATCAAGAGGTTCTGAAAACACCTGCCACACCATTCCGCCCAAGCCGCGCTCTCAGGCCGCCCACGTCTTTCAGAAGCACATCCTCAGAGTAGGCGTGTTGATTGGATTTGGTAAGATCATGGGCAAGGGATGTACCACTCAAAGCTCCACGATTTCCACCATCGATTTGAATGCCAGATGTCTTTACCTCATTCGCTTGGTTGAATATGATGGCCTGCCAGAGGGGGTTGTCATTTGTCGCAACACTTTCACTTCCTACTTGGTCCTGCCCTGATCCGCCTTACAACCAAGGCTCTGCAATCGCCTTGATTGGAATGACTCGGTTGAAGCCTCACGAAAGAGACCAGCCCTTGATGGCAGCCTTTGGGAGAACCTTGCGTGATACATCAAAATACAGCCGCTCTGATATATCAAGAGCCAGTCTTTGAAGCCTTTGAAGATGGAGGCCTGGTTCCGTCAACAAAGGCGCTGTGCTTTCGCCGGACCCGACGTGCCCAGGCCTCGGGCAAAGCCCAGAGTGATGGGGAAGGGAGGCTCTTCGTTCTCGGCTCCTGAACATGACTGGAAATGGATTCCTCTCAGTACTCGGTGCCTTGAAAAAAAGCTTCATCACTTGGTACTTTAGTCACTAGATATCAAGACAATAGATTTGCCAAACGCCCCAAGGATGAGGGATGTTGTCGCTGGGGCCCATCGAAGCAAGGGCCCTGTCCAAGGATTCTCTTTCACTGACTCACAAGAAGCAAATGAGCGGAACGTGAACATGTCATCATTGCTAGCCCTGATGCTCCAGCCAGCGACTGTCTGGAAAGATGCGAGTGAATGATCCTGTCCTTCCTCAGTTTCCTCAGGCTCTGCCGGCAGCCGGCCATAAGTCTCCAAGAAGTTCTTGTTAAATTCACCTTGGTCTCATTGACCACCAAACATGTTAACCGTGTACAAGTTCAAGTCAGTGACTTACAAAATATCTTAAAGCCTGGAAAACACCAGCGATCCAGCTTTGTCATGAAAAGCGTCACATGTTACAAGCCTGAAACATGCTTGTATCTTCTTACCTGATGTGCCATCGACAAAGCTCAACACTCACAGAAATATACAGAAACACCATGCCACCTTTGGCAGCAAAACATAAAGCAGTTGAATACAGTGATCCCCAGGCCAAACCTCTTTGCCCGCACTTCCCACAGCCCTCAAACCGCCAACCGGCCAAAGCACTGGCTTTCAGGTGCTTGAAGGCACCTTCTCGGATCAGGGAGTCCCCCGAAACTAAGTCCACATCCTTCCAGGAGAAGTCTTCCACCGCCTGACAAAAAAAATAAAAAAGCAAACAAAAAAGAAAACGGCTGCACCTCGTGGCCGCGTCGAAACTCGACCCCTTCCCTTGTGGCCCTTGTGGCCCACGACGTGTCTTCTGTCGTTTCGACTCGGTCAAAGAACGGACGTCGTCCCTGCGTCCGTCGAGTCTTCGTCATCTTCCCACCTCCAGGGATTTGTTGAGGCGAGGCAGTAAGAAGTCCAGATCTTCCAAGCTTTCGCAGCTGACTTGCACCCGGAAGCCACGAAACTTCCCCGCCGCCTTGGCCTCCTTCTCCTCGGCGACTTTGCGGCGTTCTTACGGCCAGTGGTTCTTGCATGGACACGTGGCGGAAAGTTTCAATAGGTGAGTTTACTACGCGTCCTTCTTCAGATTGAATGTGAGCATCTTCGTGTGTTTCTCCCTTCGCCTCTCCTTCTTGGCCTGCTCCAAATCGCTCATCTTGAGACGTGCACGTGAGGACTTCCACTCCCACTCTTGCACTGACGCTTCAAACAGCTTCACGGAGGCCTTGAAAGCTTAACAACCGACCTAGTGACACAGAACAGTGGCACAATGCTGACATCCCCAAAAGAACTGGCACATCATTCTGCCAAATAGGTAGACTACAAACATCTACAAGCCAATGTGCACTTGTTGATCGACCTTTCGATGGTGCAATTTTGTTTGTTCCTAGTAGCGTCCTTGTTACTACTAGTAAGGCACTTGTTACTAGAAGCGATGCACTTGTTACTAATAGCTTTGGGTCATGCAATCACCAAGTTCACCAAGTACCGAGAGACCTCCGCACCCTCAATCAGCGGCTCCAACTCAGCGATCTTTTCGGCTGCACCTGCGTGGCTTCATTGACGGTGTTCATTGCTTCCTTTCTGGATCAGTTCGCTGAATAGGTTCTGTTTAAACTAGAAGCAATGGCCTCCAGCCAATTGGAGCTTGGAACCTCTGGATTTGGTGAAGAACATACCCTGAGGTGGCCAGCCAGGAATCCGAGGCATCCTCCACCTCAATTCGAGGGGGGTGGGCCCTTTGTTGTCCTCGCCATCGCCATCAGGTCCACCCCACCTTGCTCGGCAAAGGACACCTTCTGCTGCCGATAATCTGCCAGCAGCTTTCGTGCACGGACCAGCTCACTTCCTTAGCAAACTTATGGAAGAATCGTAGTTTCCCTCTTGAAACCTGGGGGAGAAAGTGTGATTGATACTCCCATTAGAGAGGTCAAAAAAGCTCAGACACAAACCACACCCTTTTTCTCGTCCACCTACTGAGCGAGCGTGAGTTCCGGTCTCTGTAGCACTCTGTGCGCACACCGAGCGTCGGGAGACCTGCCTCTTGCGCTCGGCTTCCTCCAGCGAGTCCTTGGCCGAAAGGTACCGAGATAGGCTCTCTGTGGAAAACAGGGCCGCAACTGCAACCAACTTGGGACCACAGAATTGAACTTGGAGCGGCAGGCAATTCAGGCCGGTTGTTTGTGGGTCGTCAAGTCATCAAGTTATTACAACTACAAAGGCACCCGCCACAGGTGGAGTGAGGTTCGTTGCACAATTTTTGGCCGAAAACACACACGAAATGACAATGTCCATCGTTTTAAGGTCTGACCAAAATAATGTGTTTTCTGATTCATGTAACTGCCACGATCTTTTTAGATGGAGCAGAGGTCTCAGACTTGACAGATCTTCGCAAGCGCTTGCAGCCAGTCTTGACCAAATCTGCAACATTGAACGATCGAGGAGGTGTTCGTTCCAGCGCTTGAGACATGTTGGTCCCAAGCGAAGCTGCAGAGAACACGCTCAGAATTCTCACCTCTTGAATCTCGAGACCACAATCAGTCTGGTTTCGCGACCACATCCCATGTGTTTGCACGGTTAGTCCAACCACCCGCCCACCCACCTACCCACCTCTCCCCGGTGAAAGTCATTGGCTTCTACAACGTAGTCCAAATTGTAAAAATCTGCAAAGTAGCCGGAGGAAACCTGTGGCGTGCCCAGGAACTACAACTATTTAAAACACCAGTGAAGCATTTCAACAGGACCCAACAACTCTTCTTTCTCGCGTAGCCTCATGAACTTGTCACAACAACTCTCGCCCATGCCGGCGGGTCAGATCACAGGGCCTGGAAAAGAATAATACATATATATATATGAAATGGCCGGAGCATGGCCGAGCATCCGACAGCTCCTGCTGCTGTCGCTGAAACTTCGCCTTCCTGGGTTCCAGTTGTAGCAGGTCGCGACGAAACTGGCTCATGTTGCGCTGTGAGGGGGTAGCAGGTCATGTTGAGCAACATGTAAATGTAGCTCCAGCACAAATCCCCCAAAGACTCTAAAGACTCTGCAAGTTCCATGTGTCCTTCCCTTTCATCAATTTCTGGATCAAACATCTTGAGCTACACCGATCGAGCAGGGCGGGCGCTCTCAGAGCCGCGCTGGGCACTCGCCCCGCCACCGAGCGTCTCTTCTTTCTCCGCGTTCTTGGCGGCTTTCCTCTTGTCCTCCTTGATTCGATCTGTTGAGGAGGGATCCCAGGTCACAAGGAACTCCCGCGACTCAGCGTTGCTCGCCACGTCGATGGGTCTGGCTCCTCGGGGTCCGAGCCAAAAAACGGACCAGTCCGGGCAATGGGAAACCGCAGCACTCAACGGATTCGATGGTGGCTTCCAGGGTAAATGGCGCATCGGTATTCCTTCACGAGGTGAGTACCATTCTTCTTTCTCTATTGTATGACATTGCAGGAACTCCGCGTTTAGGATTCACGATAAATGCCTTTTTGCATCCAAAATGTGGAAGATTTGGACATAGTTCAGCAAGAATCCTTTGGAGATGCTGCGAGTCTTGGTGGATTTACTGAACTCCGTAGGCCCTCCGCCTAAGAACAGAGATATTCCCCGGCAAAATGAAGGACAACTGAAATGGACGACAGCTGGACCCTTCTGTCAAAATTCACAACACCCCATGTCAAACCACACAATCATCCTGGAAGACAGAGAATATCAAACAATCAAGCAAAAGAATAGTACTAAGTTTGTGATTTTGCTTGTTTTATTCACCCCGCATGATCACAGGGAAAATATGATATGTGGTATGTGGTGTTATATATATATATATTAGCATATATATATATATATGTGTGTCTATCATGGGACAAGGAGCCCAGGAGCACAGCATTAGATCTGTGTTTCTGCCCACCGATCCAAAGGCGGCGGAACGTCGTGCCACAAGAACCCAGCTGATGTGCTAACATCCTCGACCTGACATACACGGTTTATTGCTTTACGTGACAACGAGCAAAGAGTTCCCATGAGCAAAAATTGGTTCACCAAAGGATACCAGCGACGCACCAAGACGTTCCAACCACCCAGAGGGTGCTCGCCGTGACCGGACTTGGCCGCTTCGCTCCTTGCTCGTCACACTCCCTTGGATCGCCCCCGCTTCTCAGCAGCATGCGAATCAGCTCATGATTCCCAGCATAGGCCGCCCTCCACAAGGGAGAGCGGTGATAGCGGCCAATAGCATTGGGGTCCTCAGTCCAGCTTGGACCAACTGCCAAAGTCTATATGTAAACGCCTCTTCATAGATTGGAAGGTTCAAATTCCAAATTGATCACTACCGTGACTTCCTGACTTCACAAAGACCTTCCCAAGAAAACCGTCCGAGAGTCACACGCCTCGCCTAACAGCATTTCGACCACTTCCTGGAGCGGTTTTGAGCACCGCACAGGGGCGTACCCATGTGGTGCCTTCAAGTCAAGAGGACAAGGAGAACCCCTCACCATAGGATGCCATGGGTCGCAAATTCCCTCCATGTTGACACAAGGGCAGGCCCACAAGCACTTCAACAAGAGCACTAGGAGGCAAATTTGGACGAAACACCCTCATGCTCTCCAGGGTCAGTATTCAAATTCTATACATTGGATTTAGCATTTTGTGGGAACCTCTGTCACACCCCCTGCCAGACACCCAAAAACTCAGCCTCACCTCTGGGCTGACTTTCCAAGACTATGAACAATAAGATCCACGTTTGATGCAAGTCGCTTTGCCACTACCACCCTAAGTTAGCTTTTCACTCGCCGAAGGTCTAGGGCGACGCAACATCCCCTGCTCCACTGAACGTGGGAGCTGAAGTGGTGCATCTGAGTTCCAAAAATTCGTGTTACAAACTGACCGATCTCAGCAAACAGTTCTATTCGTGCAACAAGTACTTGAGTCCAGACCAAGACACAAGAGAAAACACTTCATGTATTCCAACAAGGAAAGATGAGACATCTACGTCCTTTGGTAGAAATGGGGTGACTGCTATTCATCGTCTCAACTAGCTTCCACTCACCTTCAAAGTCACTTACCGTCCTTGGCATTGCCAGCACATGCTTCGCTCAGCAAGGTCGTTCCATGCTCGTCCGCACACTCTGGCTCAACACCTGGAGCGTTGGAGGGTTTGCTAACCTAGTCAGACACTTTCGCACACGTTTTTCAAGTCACTCAAACAAATATGGCTCCCAAAGTTGTACTTGCAGGACCTCTGAATCCACATGGTGCAAAAGCAAGGTGAAGGAGTATTCCCTTGGTCTGTGGGACACGTGCATGTGAAAGCAAAGGAAACTAAAGAATTGATGCAGCTCGGTCCTTGATCAAAGAGCTTAAGCAAGAGATCCAGCTCATTGTCGAAGGCTGCTTCCAAGGCCTGCTCTTTCAGCTTTTTGGCTGCCGCACGCTTCTCTTCCTTCTCCTGCTTTCTCTTGGTCTCCCGCTCTGCACGCTTCCGGAGGCATTTCAGGAAGAGCTTCTCTTGTTCTGCAAGCTCCTCGAGGCAAAAACCATCTGTGGTAAAAATTTATAGAATCAATGGGACAACAAGTCAAGTCTCCAAGTAGGTTGGAGGCCATCGCTAGTAGGTTGGAGGCCATTCCTTCTGGTTCCATGGCTATTAGGTGAAAGTGAATGTACAAACGTAGCAACAAGTCAAGTCTCCTAGATGGTCCTGGATCCTAACTGAAGTGACAACATCCTTTAGGGCCCAAGGCTTAACCCAAGGTGTCTGAACCAAATCCCGCTTTCCAGATACATCCAGCTTCCCGAATCCCCAAAAAAGCAAGCAGCTGGTCGAATCCGAATGGCATCTTTCAGCAAAAGCACTATGTTCAGCTAAAAGCTTCCAGCACCCAGACCACTACTAGGAGCAAGGACGCTACTAGGGGCTCCTGGCCTTACTACTAG